GTTCAAGACAATGCTTTCGTGGGGTACGAGCAGATTCCTGCTTGGATTGTCGAGGGCTACTCCACCCTCGTTCGCGAGGCCGAGCAGCAGGTGGCCGACCACGGGCTGAAGCCGACTTTGATGGTGACTCCAGTCGGCGTTGGATCTCTGGCGCATGCCGTCGTGTCTCACTGCAAGTCTGATGGACGAGATTGCGCAGTCCTATCCGTCGAACCCGATACCGCTCCGTGTCTATGGACGAGCCTGACGGCCGGTAAACCAGTGACGGTTCATACCTCGAGAACCATCATGGAAGGGCTCAACTGCGGCACTGTCTCTCTGACGGCATTCGATGATCTTCGTGCAGGCATTGATGCCAGTGCTACAGTCTCGGACTTCGAAGCCCATGAGGCCGTGAAGTATCTCCAGACGAAGGGGGTGGAGAGCGGGCCGTGTGGAGGTGCCACTGTCGCAGCGCTCCGGCGGCTTGCCGGAGTAAGCCCACGCCCAACCTGTCTTTCCAAAGACGCTGTCGTGGTATTACTCAATACAGAGGGTCCACGGAACTACAAGATCCCATTGGACGTATCCACGGATGATCCGGTCACGTTGACGCAGATCCTCACGTCAATCGACTCTTCCAACCCAGACTTATCCAAGGCTTCAGGTGCCGGCGAAGGCGAGATTGCGCACTACATTTCCGCGTGGTTGCAACATCGCAACTTTGAAGCACACTGGCTGGAAGAGAGACAAGGCCGACCTTCCGTGGTCGGTGTACTCCGCGGAACAGGAGGAGGAAAGTCCATCATGCTCAATGGGCATGTTGACACCGTCAGTCTTTCGAGTTACTCGCCACACCTGGATCCTCTAAGTGGAGAACTGAAGGAGGAGGGCGGAGGACGAATCTATGGTCGTGGAAGCGCGGACATGAAAGCTGGCTTAGCAGCTGCCATGGCGTCAATGGCTCGATGCAGCTCTACATCACACTCTCCTCTACGGGGCGATGTCATTCTCGCCGCAGTCGCGGACGAGGAGAACTTCTCCATAGGCACGGAAGAGGTCATCAGGGCTGGATGGAGGGCCGATGCTGCCATCATACCGGAACCTACCAACCAGGAGATGGCGATCGCTCATAAGGGATTCATTTGGGTTGAAATCGACATCCTCGGCGTTGCGGCTCATGGATCTAGGCCCGAGGATGGTGTAGATGCCATCTTGCTCGCAGGCGCCGTGCAAACAGCACTCCTTGAGTACTCAAAGTCACTTCCCTCCGATTCTCGACTGGGGAAGGCATCTTTGCATGCCGGCCTCATTCAGGGTGGCGAAGAGCCTTCCAGCTACCCGGAACGCTGCACTTTGACCATTGAGTTTCGAACCATTCCGGTACAGACTACAGAGAGGATCCTTGAAGACATTGAGAGCATCTTGAGCAGTATCGCCAAGTCCAATCCGGATTTCAAATATGCTGCTCCTCGAAAGACCTTCTCGCGGCCTCCGCTTGGGCAGAGCCCTGACGATGAGTTCATCAAGACCTTCGTCTCTGCTACCTCGAAGTGTCTAGGTGAGGCGCAAGAGCCTGTTGCATGTTCTTTTTGGTGCGACGCTGCATTGTTGAACGAGGTCGGTATCTCATCGGTTGTCTATGGTCCCAGAAGCTTTGGGATCCATGGCAAGGAGGAATGGGTGAGCGTGGAGAGCATCCGGGAAGTGGCATCGGTGATGGAGACCGTGATTCAGGATTTTTGCGCTTAGACATCGACCCTGGATCATAGATACTTAGTAGGCTAAATGTCGACAAAAGAAGGCGAAATGAATACAACTGCATGTGCTATCCGAGTCTATTGCTCAATGGCTATTGCATATCTCGATCAACAAGCTTTTCCCTGTTACCTCAGGGCTCTCGCTAACTCAATTCCCTCGTAGCTTTCAGAGTTCCTCAACGTGTGCTTATGTGTTCCCTGCGTAATCTCGTCCATTGCATCGTATCCAATCTCAGTCTCGTGAGCTCTCATGGCGGAGTTGGTGGCCGTCGATGGACCCATGGCGAGCAGAACATTCCGGTTCGTCTCTTCTTCTATCTTCCTTCCCTCCTCTAGAGTATTCATGCCAATTTCTGTTGGAAAGGCACTCTGTCCATCCGACTTCAAGTATCCATTTCTCTCGTCCGATCTCGACGTTGCGTACATCTCCGTAAAAAGGACTCGCAGAACGGGGATAGATGACGCAACGATTGTGACGTTGATCTCGGCTTGTCCCCATATAAAGAGCAGAGATAGACGATCTGTAAAATGATTAGATAGATCCACGTGGGTACCGGGAAAACATTCCGATGCTCACATGGTATATCTGCGCCCTCGGCAATAGTCACGATTTTGATGACCTTGATCACCCCGACTAACCCTGCAATGACACCGAGGCTCATAGCTACAGCAACGCCAATCTTTTCATGGCGCTTCAAGCCTAGTCTCCATATCATTGGCCATGGAAGCAGCGACAAGATGAAGTCAACCAGTGCCGAGTATGCTGAAATCATATGTCAACTTGCTATTTGCAAATATGCAGCTCAATTCATATGTTACTCACCATTCGACACCATGTGCATAATGACGGAATCCTCCACTCGCCAACAGGATCCGGGTAGGACAGCTTCATAAGAGTCTGACGGCCTGTCGCAGGCCGCCTTCCAAGCGACAACAGCGCTGGTTGCCAAGACTGCGTTCATGGATATGATCAGAAACCAAATGAAAACCTTCAGTTTTGCAGACGCAATGCGCAACATTGTGACTGCAAAGGACGTTTTGCTGAGGGCCAAGGCGACCTTATTCATGACGACGTTGACAGACGACAGAGTGAAAATATGGGCTGAGAAATCTAGGGACTTTCCAAACCCGAGTCTCATAAGCTCTGTGGTGAGAGACGTCGAGACTAGCAGGAATATCTCCAGAGATGGATCGTCAGCAATGAAAGCTCCTCCAACGGTCCAACAAGTCTCTTACCCAAGACGCCACCAAGAGATAGTCATCTGTCCATAAGCCACGGGATCTGATCTTTTTGCAGTAAACACGACAGAACAGAAAGACTGTCGATACCGAAATCATAGCCCATATCGAAGCGACGACCCTAGGCGCCGGGTCTTTTGAAACGTCAATCACGAATGGCGCCGTAGAAGAGGCATTTCGCCCGGAAAGGCCTGCTAGACTCTTCGAGCTCATTGTGCGGAGATACGTGAGGACGCTGGAGAGAACAAAAATGGCAGACCGGAAACTTTTCACGCCAGTGATTTTCACTGTTGGGGCACATCTTAGATTAAAAAGGCAGATTTTCCGCTTCCGATGAAGATGTCAAGTCTTTTTGGGAAAAAGAAATATATTCGCTTCCACTACCCCGTCACACGTCAGGGTCGAAGCTCAAACATAAAGAATACAGAAGACGCCATCCGGCAACATGTTCTGAGGCAACCGAGCGAACTCTTGGATCATGTTCGCGTAGGGGGCCAGGCCTCGGTGAAGCAATGCAAGGATGCCATTCACATAAAAGAAAAAGAAATACCCTCCCAAAATCTGGGATAGTAATCCTCGGTCGCCCCGCACGATGTGAGTAATCATTGGCCACCACAATTATTTGAGTGACCAAGCCTCCCGACGGGGACTAGTCGATACTAGGGAAGCTGCGTGCATCACAAGCTTGACATCGAGTGTTTGATGCCATCTCGTCTCGGACTTCGAAGTGAAACAAGGTCTCGAGAAAACTAGAAGAAAATGACAGCAATTCCATGAAAGACAGACTTTGCTGACACGCTGGGCATGCTAATCATAAATCATAATACGCTTGGGCAGATTTTTGACTGAGCTGACAAGGTTTTCACCACGCAGTTTAGCCTAGAGGTTGTCATTGATTCCTGATGTGTCAGATCGTTGATTGGTGATGAGATTCTCGGCGAGACCACGAATTCGTAGAGATCCCGTAAGATCATCTGTCGTTGTTGCCTTGCACTTATTAGCGTGATGAAGACGTCTTTTGGAGGGTTGCATGTCGCACCATTGAATCCTTAAGCATCTTTGGCAATGCACTGAGGCGATGCAAGATCGCCCCTATGGTTCACGAATCATTGGAATAATCAGCTTCCGTACGTCTATACTAGGTAAGATCTTAGACTCCCGTCGCATCTCATTAAATGGTCCCCGGATGCTCCGTCCCGGCAGGTTGGTCTAGAATCTCTCTCTCTCCGCTGATGCCTTGCATCATGCTAGGTGCATTGCTAGTCTCAAGCTAGTCTTTTCTGGCCCTTCAGCTTTGACAGGCTATTCGCTGGCTTTTCTGGAAGTTTTTGCAGGACTCGAAAAAGGAACTCCTCGAGAATTGACCAACCACTCTACTCAGTGACCCTTGCAACTGGCGGCTGGAGTTAGACACACCACGCACGTTGGGCCGTCAAAAGTACACTAGAGAAACGTTGATAACCAATTTGCCTAGTTGCTCGTCAATTATCACAATGTTCTCTCTCCGTCATAGCAAACTTTCCCACGTGATAGGTTGCGCACGAATTGTCATTGAATGGATGTGAATGACTAATAACGTGCCGACTGTCCTTATGCTAGTAGCAAGTTTCTCTTTAGAGGCTTCCTCAAACACTATGCTCTCCGGTTGAACTGAGGGGCAAGCGAGGTTGACCGGGTTTTCTTGGAGTAGCGTGACTTCCTTGCATAGTACTACGAAAGATCACGCAGAAATGCACGAAAGCTAGCCTTGAAGTCTGGCTTTTCTAGATCACACACAGCTTCTTCAAGAAAGGCCATTCCATATGTTCAGGTCTTTCATCCGAAGGTGCGGAGCCGAAAAACTTCCTTGGAATTCTCGGCCCCACTACGGGGCCGAGTGGAGTGCTTATCGATAAGCTCGGCGGACCCGAAGCTGGCGGTAATCGTCGGCAGAATATTTGCTGTCTGGATTGCGACACTCGGGTTTCTCTTGAAGCCCCCAAATGCACGTCTCGCACCACGGATCTCCGTTATTATACCCAAATGCTGCTTTGCTTGCGTCGCACGTGGACGCGGCGTCCTCCCTTACAATGTCTAGCGCAGACACCCGGTAGACGTGCTGCCGCAACGAAAGCCACGATCGCCCAAACCGTTCTGAAGGAGACAACCCCGACAGCGTCAAGGCTGGCTGAAACGGGACTTTGGTCGATGCCATCACGTTCCAAGAAGGCTGGAAAGGGCAGTACTGATGCAAGGAAAGCCAAGCCGAAGAAAAAGGCAAAGGGTGACAAGTCGCGTGTCAATATCGTGGACGAGAAGCTATGCGGTGCGTCCGTAATGTCCGTACTCAGTCGCATTACCGACCAAGATGCTAATTGGGATCGCCACCAGATGATATCCTCAAATACATAGGTCCTACACTCGAAAGACATGTTGGCTGCGACTTGGTCGACATCAACCCGGGCGCCGGCGTCTGGAGTCGCAAGCTCTCAGAGGTCCTCCAGCCGCGCACCCACATCCTCATGGAACCCGACGAGGATGTTTATCGACCCTTCCTTGAGCCGCTACTCGAAAACCCAAATACACAACTGATACCTCAGTCCGGAATCCTCTGGAACGAGCTGAATGAGGTGCTCGGCCACATTCAGAACCAGGTCCCTAAGCCAAGGGGCCCTGGCATCGAGCCTACGCGCAACGACACCCTCCTTGTGACGGCGAACCTCTCCTTCTTCCCCAAGAAACGGTATCGCAACTTTGATAGCGTCGCCGCGATGGTGCTCTTTCAGCTCATCAGCAGCATCCGCACCGGCACACTTTTCCAAAAATACGGCCTCGTGCGCATGCTGGTGTGGGCCAATAACGACGATCAGCGCTCGTTCCTGGCAAGGAACATTCAAGGGCGGCGCAAGTCGGCGATTGAGGCCGAGTTCGCGTGCGAGTGGCTCGGCGTAGTGGCCGGCACGGAGGCGCATTCGAATTCGGACTCCAAGAGAGACGTCTGGCACGTTCGCGATCGATGGATTGATATCGACAGCACAAGGGACGCACTGGAAAGGATGAAAAAGAATGGGCTGGAGATGCCAGAGGGACGGAAGTTGGAGTCTACAACGCAGGCCGAACGAGGAGCTATCGGCCCTGGGCGCCACGCTGGCGTGCAAACGCCGCATCTCAGCCGGCCCTACGTGGCGGAGCTGAAGGAACTCGAAGACGAGTTGGCGGTCGGCACCATGGACACGTCGAATACATCAAAGTCTTTCAAGCGCCTGAAATTCCTGCGGCACACACTAAAAACACAAGAGGAAGACGCCGAGAGCAATACGGCTCTATTAGCAGAGATGTACGAGCTCAGCCGACTGCGTGCGACCAAAGCCATCCCGGACGCGGAGCTGAGAGGGCGCGAACAGGCGTGGGATGCCAAGGTCTCGTCAATGGGGAAGAACTTCCTCATCGACTTCCGCGTCATCCGGGACAACTTGCACATCTTTCGGCAAGACCCGCCGGTGATGCTTTGGGACAGGCGACCCTACGAGCCGCTCGCCGTCAGCCCCAACGAATTCTTCCCCAACGTCGAGTGTTGTCTATTAGATATCCAGCCCAAAGCGATGTATCCGCTCCTCCGGCAGTCCGGGCCGGGCACCTCGCGAGCGGGCGACATGTTTGAGCTGTTCCGGAGTTCTATGCTGGCACAGGGCCTGGAGCCCGTCAGCAAGTCTTTGGAGCGCATCTGGCCCGGGGCGGCGGAGGGCATCTTGCCGCACTGCCCCAGCCTGCGGGACCCAGACCAGGGCGGACTGACTGGAACGGGGCACGCGGAGCTCTGTTCTAGAGTCCTGAGCGAGAAGCAGTGGATGGAGCTGATGGAGGCCTTCATGGCATGGCCATTCCACCCAACATACGAGGAGATGATTGGGCGATTGGCGGACGACGTTGAGCCCTCCGACGATGATCACAACGCTGGCGGCAGCAGCATGTCGACGGATGCGGCATTGGCGTAAGAGGCTCCATGAGAGAAAGCAGGCATCTCGTGTTGTAATGGCCTTGGGGGTCCTGCGGGGGCCGCGGGCAGCACTCATGATTCACTAAACCTGTATAATTATGTACTAAATCCCTCTGTATCTAGTATCATGTATATCGTAGGCTACATCCATCTGGTATATCAATGTACTATCATAATGTATGTAGTATAAGTTCACAAGAAAGAAACATGGAGGTGATGCGGAGTAACCTGGTAGGTTGTTTCCCGATCATACATTGACGGTAGATGGAGAGAATTGTCAAATTTCGGAGAGCCTTTCGTCAACGCTTAGCCCCTGACCCATGAATGTGTTTGTGTAGTCCAAGACTCGTAGTTGGCCTAGGGCCGCATTCGTTCTGCGGCATGACCAAGGTGAAGACAAGATTCGTCCGTTGTGATCACTTGGGAACAGTATATGCGAAGCGCATTGTACACCTGCCTTGGTGCATCTACTGCAGTAGAAACGGCCGAAGCATTCAAAATCAACAATGCTAGTCAATGTCAGGGGTCAAGGGTCGGGTTACACCCAGAACAGCTTTCGGGAAGAAGCGCAAGGGATGCATGATGAGCCGCGATGAGGGAGTGCGGGGGCTGCGTAAGCTGCGTCGCGGGTGAATAGAGGTTAAGGGCCAGATAGATGGACCATGACGACACTGGACAGCACTGGACGGGGATGAGCTTGTTCAAACTTTGGAGAGTGAAAGCACGGCTCTGGGTCTTCTGAGAGCGATGTCTGGGATCGGGAATGACGAGCAGACGGTTTGATGAAGGCTTGCGCAAATATATGGGGAATCGTGTGCCCGTCCGCCAGAGTGTGATTGCAACGTGGACTGAGCAGGTTCTTCAAAAGTTGCGAGAGGCTATGCTCACGACTTCCTGGGTATGTCTTATTATGAGTATATGCGTTCGCCGTGCATTTAATTACATGTTGGTTCGCTTTTGGTTCGTGATTCGCGGATAGACAGATGAGCAACATGGGATGAATGTGGTCACTGGTAGCACTGTAGCACAAACAGACTGACACGCGTGTCTTCCAAACGTTGCAAACTGTTCCCACGTGGGGTTTCGAGGGGATGGGGAAGACCCGCACTCGGTTTCTCGTCATCTCATACGTTATACACATAACTGTGAGATGACAAAGACACTTCACTGACAAATATTCAGAATTTCTGATGATGAACTAATCAATCAAGAGTCAGGACTGGGGATGAAAGGTGGAGTTTCGGCTCTTTGTCACACCTCAATCGGGGTGGCAGTGGGACTAGATGCCCGTTCCCCATTTCCCGTTTCTCATCTCATCTTTCATTGCCATCCGCCCATCATGATCCAACGGCGCCCTCTCCTAGGGTTACGGTTGTCAATAGCGACAGCCACAGCCAAAGACCCGTCTGTAATAAGATGACGTGAGATGGTGGACGTGTGATGATGTACAATCTCAATAGTGGATGAAGACTCAGATATATGAGTACATAGACTACTCCGTACCGATACGTGTCCTCAGCATCTGTCCAGAGTTCAGACTCATAGGCATCCGCAATGAAGACAGATTCGTTAGGACAATGTATTGGAGAAAAGACATATATCCGTACCACTCACTGTACTGCGTGTATGTGAGGGCCGATGTGCTCAGGGGTTGAGTCGCACAGCAGGAATGCATGCTGTGTAAATGCTGGATCGTCGGCCCCCCTGCCTGTCAGTCTAAGCGCTAGAAGAATCGCTAGCTCAGGAGCTTAGCACCAATACCGAGCGCCGGGCAGCACGTTGCCCCTTGGGCTAGCAGGGGTTGGCGCGGGCGCCGAAGCTGGGAGAGGTCTCGTGGCTTCAGATACAGGCGCACTTGTTCTCGATTGAGATGCGACACGCTGTAGCTTTGACTTGGCGTTGATGGCGAGGAAGCCAAAGTACTTCTTTCTCTCTACTGCACAGTACAGAAGTAAAGTAAAGTGGTACAAATAGCGCGAATGTCCTTCCCGCAACCCCTTACCCCTGGACCCTGGCGACAGAGTGATGGCTCTTTGTCCAATTGTTTCACGTTTTCTCTGGAATGATGTTTGCTCTGGAATGCACAGCAACGGTTTTTTCTGTGCTTCTTCAAGTGACGTGCGCCCGACATAGTCCTCGTGTAGAGTACGGATACTGATGCATCGTGGTAGAGAATTTGAAGGTGATTGCGATAGGTACGTATTTAGTAAGGTACTCGTGGTCAGCAAATGAAAGTATTGCATACTTGAGGTACCTTAGTTAGTCATTTCCGTACACCAAGGTGAACTCGAACATGTAGCTATTCATGAGGGTGAAATGCCTAGACCCCTATTTATTTTTCGCCAATGATGTTGTCGTGACACACAGAACGGTTCCTGGATGGCGCCCCCTTTTCGACGTTTTCACTTCCACTAAGGCCAAGGCTAAGGTAAGGTACCTGAGCCCGTCAATTTAGTCAGGTCGTGATAGTAGTACTGATACTCGTCGTTGCGACAACTAGGTACTTACCTAAGGGAAGTCAGAACTTCTGCTATTCGTACGAACCGAGTGTTATTTAACCTCTGAAACTATCTACCAGGAGAAAGCAAAGAAACCCACGTCAACTGCCGGAGAACCGAAAGACTAAAGTGGCTCAATCCGCTGCCTGCCACCATTCTCCCAAGGTACTGTAGTCTAAAGGTAAGTACCAAAGACCACGACTCTGAAGTCTGGACTTCAGCGAGACACAGTACCTAGTGAAAGCAAGCCCATTCAAGAAAAAGAAATGAAAAGATAATACTCCGTCGAACCAAACCACACATACTGAGTACATTACCTGCCTCCACTCCGTCCAGACTCCAGACTCCAGACTCCAGAGTACCTACCATCTGTCCAAACCTTGGGATCTCCCATGCTTACTTGAAACTTGTCTGGGCGTCACCTTCTTCCAAGTTCCCCCACCCGCACAGCCCACGGTCCACAGTCCCGCAGCCCAAGCGCTCGGCAGCATCTACGCAAGACACAGTACCTGTACATCATCACCACAATATTCCAGGTTCATCATCATCATCAGCATCAGCATCAGCATCTACATTCGGACCTGCATCAAGCCTCTGCAGCCCCCGTTCGAGCACATGTCTACCGCCCCCATCCGAATCTTCCAGTCTTCTCCCAACAACCATCAACTTCTCCAGCTTCCTCCGATTGACCTGGATCTCTCATCTTTCCCGTCCTCCCGTATCCCGACCGTCTCATCCCATCCCATCCCGTCCCATCCAACTTCACGGATATCCACACCTCCAATTGCGCAGTCCACAATCCACATGCGCAGAACGGATACTCCGTAACACCGCCCATCCATCCATCCACCTGCCTCAGACATCATAGGTAGCTGCTACCTTGCCCCATACCTACCTCAGATCAGCATCTCCACGTTGTCGCCCATCTCACTTTGCTGTCACTGCGCCTTCCCATCTGCCGTACTCTGCGTACCGCGCACTCCCGCCTTCCTATCCGAACAAACACCCGCTGTCCCCGTCACTTTGGTCCAGTTTGCCTTCGAATACCTACAGCACCAACTTCCAGTCTTCGTCTGTTGGCACTGAGGCCCCCACGAACCAGTTCTGTGCACGAAGCCGCCTCTTCCCTGTTCCGACGTCCAATCTCGACCTCCTCGTCCTTCAATCCCCCTTCAATGGCACTGTTCTAACCAGCCGCCCGTCTTCCTTTTTGAGCACTTCTTCTTTTACTTCTTCTTCCGTCATTCCTTACCTTTCTTCCTCCAATTCATTCCGGTTTACTCGGTCGGCTTTCTTCTTCCCTGTAATCTCTCGTGTTCCAACTGTCCATAGAGCTTCGCACCGTTGGGCCCTTCGAATCCCCGACAACCACCTCGAATCGTGTATCGCGATTTTCGACTGCAGCACCCGACCGACCAACAACCAAGCTCCTGCTCTCCGCGCCTCGAGCACCCCTTTACCCTCTCCTCGATCGCGGTCTTGCGCTGCCGCTCGCCTGTTGAACAGGCCTGGCTGAGCCGGCCGCCAGGCCTCCTTCATCCGATATCCGAACTACCCTTCCACTCGAGTCCATCGTCCATCCCCCCCGGGACCGACTTGCGACGATACCCTATCTCACTACTCCATCCCACGACCCCGCGACCACTCTACACCATGGTGAAGCTCATTCCACCATCGTTTCCGCCCCGGCGGCCTTCGAGCTTCCTCCGCTACGCCGCCGCCGTCATCTTTTTCGTGGCTCTCTTCTACTACTTCGACCCGCGATACCCAAGAGAACCTCTGACACAGCTTCAACCAGAGAAGCCGAAGCAACCCCCGCAAACACCAGACCCGGTGGCTCCGGGACAGGTTGAGGATGTCACAAAGCCGACGGCTCAGGCCGAGACGACACCGATACCTCCGAAAGCCGATCAAGCATCGTCGGGAGTTAAACCCCCCTCAGCGGGCAATACCAAGGTTGAAGGCGGTGTCGATCCGTCAAAAGGACATCCCATAGATGCCTTGATCAAAGAGGCCGACGAAACGTTTGATAAGTTGTTGGAGAAGGAGACCAAGACGCTGCCCGCCGCGGCCAAGGCCTACCGCGAGCGACGTGGTCGCCACCCTCCCCCGGGCTTTGACGCATGGTTTCAATTCGCCCAGGACCGCAAGGCTGTCATTGTGGAGGACTTTTTTGACCAGATCTACCACGATCTAAAACCGTTCTGGGGCCTCGAACCATCACGCATCCGAAAAGAGGCGGCTGAATGGGAGATGGTGATCAAGGTGCGCAAGGGACGAGCCACCCGTATCAGCGACTGGTTCTGGACCATCCACTGGACAAACATGCTCAAGACGATTGAGCACCTGCTACCCGACATGGACATCGCCCTGAATCCGATGGACGAGCCGCGCATGGTGGTGCCGTTTGAGGATATGGAGCAGCATTTGAGGGACGCTGCCCTGACGGAAGGGATGCCCGAACCGAAAAAGGTTATGAACACATTCCAGGCCCTGCCTAGTAGCAAAAAGGAGCTCGACCGCAACGTCAAGGTCAAGAGCAAGCACTGGGATAAAGTCACAAGTATGTGCCCTACCACCTTTTCTTCTACCCCACCTACCTACTCCTTTTCATGGGACGAACAACACCCGAATACTAACATCCGTCTGCAGAACAGTACTGGCTCATTGCCCGCCGTGGGTGCCCTCCCGACAGCCCTGCTCGACTAGCAAAGACGCAAAGGACCTTTAACCATGCCCCCGCCGTTTCGACAAAGTATGCCAAGCCGCATATGCGCGACGGTTTTGTTTCCAACTACACTCTCTCGACCCATATCTGTCACCAACCCGACCTGCAAGGCCTCAATGGCATCTTCATTGAGCCCCTAAGCACAGCTGCCACGCCTGTGCTGTTTCCAATGTTTGGCGGTTCCAAGCTGGCCGTCAACAATGAGATCCTGCTTCCTGCAGCCATGTACTGGACAGAGGAAGAACGGTTCAGTGGCGGTGGGTACCATGGGGGCCGCTGGAACAAGAAGAAGGACGCGGTGCTCTGGCGCGGCGTCGCAACGGGTGGGCGCAACCGCGTGGATAACTGGCAAGGGTTCCAGCGCCACCGGTTCGTGGCCATGAACAACGCGACCAAGGTCACGGGCGCCGAAGACGGCACGATGGACCCGATCAACTTTTCCCTGCCCGACAAGATGTACAACATTGCAGCGCAGGCGGTGGGCGGGCTGGGCGACTGGATCAAGTCGTGGGCCAATGTTGGGTTTACGGATCTCATGTGCGAGCCCGAGGGCAAGGCCGGAACGTGCAACTACACGAGCCCCTATTTCAACATCACCGAGGGGGTTATGCTCTCCGAGATGTACGACAACAAGTACCTCCCCGACGTTGACGGCAACAGCTTTTCAGGCCGGTACCTCGCGTTCCTGGGCAGCACGAGTCTCCCCATCAAGTCGACGCTTTGGCGGGAATGGCACGACAGCCGTCTCGTTGCATGGAAACACTTTGTGCCGATGGACACGCGGTATAATGAATATTACGGCATCATGGAATACTTTTTGGGATATGGTGACGAGAGGCCAGGCCATGACGCCGAAGCGGAGAAGATTGCCATGGCGGGCAAGGCGTGGGCCGAGAAGGCGCTGCGTAAGGAAGACATGCAGATTTACACTCTGCGGTTGCTTCTCGAGTACGCGCGCGTTACGGACGAGAGAAGAGAGAGGATGGGCTGGGTGCATGACTTGCTGGCGGAGCAGACATCCAGTTGAGAGAGCGCGAGGAGGCAGAAAGGATTGTTGTTTCGTCGCATGGATACCACACCGCGGAATACGGGAAATCAAAAAGGGCATGGCGTTATTTTATCTCTATTATAGTGTTCTGGTCCGTCTCTTTGGGGAGTTTTTGGTGTAACTCGCAAGGGCCCCTACTTGTCAGCCTTTTTATGGGTGTTTTGAGACTTTTGTCTACGGATCCTACCAGAACCGACTCCCTCGAACGGGAGAATGAGGAAGCATGAAATCGGCATCATTCTAGGTATTGATATATAACATAGGTCATGTATGCTGCATGGCAACTAGTACATACCACTGCCAGGTTTAGCGGCGCATCAAAGTGCCATGTGCATGTGAATGTGAGGGTGGTATTGCATGTTGTGAAAGTGTCGGACGTCGGTTCCGGATCTAAGTTCTACATGACGTGGAAAAGGATTGGCTCGGTCTTCGGAAGGCAATCCCGTAGACCGGAGACGACGTCTGCCGCCTGTTGCCGTTCGTAGGCGAGCTGCACAAGGAGTTATGGAGTAATGATATCTTGAATCTTATCCTTCAGCCGTCGACAGCCTAACCAACTGGTCCGTGTACAGCAGAATAAAGTCATTTGATCACTTTCACGAGACACATGGCGGGAGGATTGGAGACGCGGCTACGAGTCATAATCAAGTCCAATCCGCCAATGTATTCGTTTAGGGTGCAGACGATTACGCGATGATAAGGCAATTTCGAGACGAGAGAATGCGCCTCTTTTACGTAAAGCCAGGGAGCGTCCTTGCTTCGAGGGCCTTGGGCAGGTGAGGGGTATAATCGGGAGAGACAATGGAAGCAAGCGGATGAGAGAGTTCTTGTGCTACCTACTCAAGCGCGGGAGCTAGCGGATGACAGTGACAGCGTGCTTGCGTAGAGAGTTGAACCCATTTTCAGTCTTCCGAAGGATGTAGCTATATCTGGGAATTGTGGACGGGGGTAAGTCGAACAGGCAGGCAGGCGGGCAGGCTAGCCCCCGGATAATGGAAGATGGGAAGGACGTCATGCGGCCACCCCTGGAACCGATTGATAACAAGAAATGTGAAAGACAAGGTAGTCAAATGGGCGTCGAGAATCTGAGGTGAGAACATGGGAGTCGAGGGATGCCGGCCCAGGCACGAGTCGCTGAGGCTTTCAGTGTGAGATGAGAATCGAGATGCTGCAGCAGCGGTGCGGGTCCGTGATGGGCAGGGCCCCGCTGCCCTGATGGGTGACTCGTGGGAGGAGGGGAGGGCCTCAAACCGCAGTAGCACAACTGTGACCTCGGGTCTAGCACACATTGTACGTAATTGAATGTACTCTGGGTGTATCAGACTCGGGAGGACACTTCACGGCCAGATAAGAGGAATGTCTGATAAGAGACAAGACCAATCGATAAGGCAAGAAAGGTGCGAACCTCGGAAAATCGACACCTGGCTCTCTTTTGGTTGTACTGAAGATAAGGTACCTTACCTTACTACACCTTTGTAAGGGAGGTAAGGCAGGTAAAGTCAGGTAGGAGAAAAGAGAACATAATGGAGGGAAAATGATTGCAGTCCGGATACCTTCGATTCCTATGCCTTGGAACGGGTGGTGGTGGTGGTGGTCCGCATCACCCCCTCTTTCTCAACAAAAAAAGAGCAGAGAAGAAATGAGAAAAAAACTCTTTCTTCTCTTCTCTCTCCCGTATTCCGAAAAGGCCGAGCTTCCGTCCGTGGTTTTCTTGGTTGTGTGAGTGTCGGGTGTGAGATTGTCATGCGCCTTCGCGTCGCCCTGCCATTAGGGAACATCACCAAGTCCCGGAGGCGGTGATATTGGTGAAGTGGACAGCGGACGTGGGCGACGGGCCTCTTTAAATAATGCCTCGCGCGTTTTTCCGCCGGGTCACCTGCCGTTAAGTGGCACACCTCCGGGCGCGCCAGACCCCTAAGTGCAGGTGCTCCAGCGGTGGTCCAGCGGGCCCCAGCGATGTGCGGCGGGGGTCTGCCCCTTGCGGCCCTCTGGCTCCCTTCTCTTGCGGCGCTACGCCCGCCGACCGTGGGCCCCATAACTGTCCGGGGCTCCACTGATGTTCCCCTAAGTGCAGGTCTACCCGTGGTGGGGATGTTCGGGGGTGGACCGTCGACCTTCGTGGAGGGGCCCAAGGGAGGTTCAGGGGTCCGCAGCCTGGAACACGCTGGTGTCATTGCCGTCCTGTCGCCGTCGCCGTCGCCGTCGCCGGGTCTTCACTCTTCAGTACCCAAGGTGCGAGGTGTCTTACATTCCTCACCTTTCCATTGTGTCCGGTAGCGTCACTTGCTTCGACACCACCCGTCTGTCCCACCTTCTACACAGCTACCTACGCAGCAGAAATCTTCCGTCTTTTCCACAATCCACCCCGTCCTCGTCCTTGTTCCCCCCTTGGCCAGGAATGCGCGCGAATGCTTCCTTTCCCATCAGCCCTAGGCGCGCTAGCCATCCCATGACTGAGGTGGCCGTGGTCATGGATGATGGCTGTACGGAGCCAGGTACTTCGTGGCCCGGAGCCCTTGGTGTCGCCGGTGACGGAAAGGCTTTAAACATACCTTGATCGCCCGTCTTCTGCTGATTCAAGACTCTCTACATATAATACTCCCCAGCTTCTACCCTCCTCTTGACCTCTCCTTCTTCTCTTCCTCGTCTTCTTCTTCTTCACTTCAATCTCTTACCTCGATTACCCGCACATATCTTGTCACTGAACCAAGGTCAGCGCCACCATCGTCAACTCTCACCTACCACCACATTCCCCTCCTCCTCCACCACCCGTAATCACAAAGTTCGCACCCTCGGCGCATCGCAACCATGGTCCAGAACACATCAATGGTCACCTCCAAGTTCCTGAGCAACCCCGAGGACCTCGGCGTCGTTGCTGTTGGCTTCTCTGGCGGACAGGTAAGCGTCGCCAATAGCCTACCCTCCCAAGGCAACATAGAAATCTGACCCTCGCCCGCCTGCAGTGCAAGAAAGGCGTCGATGCCGCCCCCAAGGCCCTCATCGAGTCCGGCCTGCTCACCCAGCTCCGCGACGAGCTGGGCTACAAGCTCCACGGCGACGATGAGGTGCACCTCTACACCGACCTCGTACCCGCAGACGACCCTCCCTTCCGCAACATGAAGAACCCCAAGGCCGTGTCCTCCGTCACCGAGCGCATCGCCGACCAGGTCTACCAGCAGTCGCGCCTTGGTCGCCTGACCCTGACCCTCGGCGGTGACCACAGCATTGCCATTGGCACCATTGCCGGCTCTGCGAAGGCCACCCGCGAGAGACTCGGCCGCGAGATTGCCGTCATCTGGGTCGATGCGCACGCCGACATCAACACCCCTGAGACGAGCGACAGCGGCAACGTCCACGGCATGCCCGTGGCTTTCGTCACGGGCTTGGCCAAGGAGTCAAGACCCGAGTACTTTGGCTGGCTCAAGGATGAGCACATGCTAAGCATCAAGAAGCTGGTGTATATTGGTCTGCGCGACGTTGATGCAGGCGAGAAGAGGATTCTGCGCGAGAATGGCATCAAGGCTTTCAGCATGTTTGACATTGACAGGTAGGTCTCTCCTCTTCTCTTTCTTTCCGCATGGCATGGCCATGATAGACTTCTGACCGTTATGACTAACATCGTTTTCTTTTTAGATATGGCATCGGACGCGTCATGGAGATGGCGCTGGCGCACATTGGCAACGATACCCCCATTCACTTGTCATTTGACGTTGACGCTCTGGACCCCATGTGGGCGCCGTCAACGGGTACCCCGGTCCGCGGCGGTCTCACATTGAGAGAAGGTGACTACATTTGCGAGTGTGTGCACGAGACTGGCAGCCTTGTCGCGCTGGACCTGGTCGAGGTGAACCCGTCACTCGCGGCCGAGCAGGAGGGCGCGGCGTCCGAGACGGTAAGAGCTGGCTGCTCGCTGGTGCGTTGCGCTCTGGGAGAGTCATTGCTCTGAGTTGGTAGCTTGAGCGTGCGCGGGACAGAAGGGAAAGGATGCGGTCACAAGGGATTCTCGACTTCTGGCAGAATCTTGGCCGCTGACGGAGAACGGCGAGGGCTGCCTATCTATGGTTGTGGGAACACAGGGAAGATTAAACGGTACACGGAGGCAAAGTGAATTTGGCGTATAGCGCAATAGAAGACAGAACAAGTGAGGTGGCCAGGGAAACTTGGACGGAGTCAGACACGTGGTTGAGGTAGATATATACCAATGAATAGATTTATGAGCCGACCTTTCGTTGTCATGATTGATGCTAGGTAAGGTACTTTGGTACGAGGTTCCTTTGGTAACTCAGTAAACCAGAGATTATTCAAACGTATCCGAACTTTACAGCGCACTCCCGTGGCTCAATTCCAAGGTCTCAACGACAACACAAAGTTCAATTGGGCATAAAGACATGTGAAATGGAAGGCTGAAGTCGTGAGGCGGTTCGGGTGCATATTGGAGTCTTTGAGCCTCGGAAACCGGGGCCGTGGGTGGCTGGCAGTGACAGCAGGTCCAATGCGGGCTCTGAGGACCCCACTTTCCTGCTCACCGATGGGATGTGTCGGTACCTTACGTGCTTACCTAAAGGCAAAGGAAGGGACGGAGTTGGGATGCCTTCCATTCGCCCAGCCATCGCCATTTCCAAAGAGAAGGAGAGATCAATTAATGTACGGTGTACCTTGACTAAGGCAAGGTACCTATTCCCTATTCGCAGATGAGAGAAGGAAGCTGGCTCGCCCCCAGTCACAATTTTCAAATCTACAACACACATACATTTCATAGACGATTTCTCGAATCGCAGTACATAATCTTCCCCGTCTAACCATAAGGCAACTACGGCGTAAATACGACATACTTTGGTTTGACGTGGCACCCTCCAAAACAGCCGCCGCGCCAACACCAGGGCAACCCACACCATCCATTCGATCCGTACGCCTACCTTACCTTGCCTTGGGTACTGTGCAGGAGTCAGGCCGACTTCTACCTGATTGCGAGGCGCTCGAAAACCGTTCCTGCTACCAACCCTGCCCCTCTAATAAGACGAACTCTTTGGCACCCGACGAGACGAACCGAGCCCACCTTTCCGCTCGACGCAGGATACCTAATCGACGCGATTGCCGCACGCGCATTGGCGATAGCATCCTACCCAGCCTCGCCGAACGAACAGAACCCGGAAATTCGGTACCCAACGTTGCCCATTGCGCTACTCGCCCCCGCCGCTCATCCCAGCGAAACCCCAAATCCATCGGAAGACCGAGAGCATCGAGCACGATCGATTAAATACCTATATTAGAGACACCTCTCCGTGCCCCATTCCGAATCTCAGCGACAGTCGGAATACCTAGGCGACGCGATCCCACTTGACCAATACCAACTCATCGTCAACGAACCGAGCTGTAAATAGCAAATATAGGCACAATGGTGGCGTCAACACTGACGGGCAGCTCCCTCTACGAGAGGCGCGTTGTCGAGCGCGTCCACCGCTACCAATGGCCCGGCATTCAGCTCAACCTCTGGATCCTCGTCATGCTTGTGGCCGCCTGCCTCATCATCGGCGTTTTTGCGTCCTTTATCGAGACGCAGCAGCAACTGCTTCTGCCCATACCCTGGTGCGTGATTCACACTGCTATCTCTGCCTCGCCCTCGCATTCCGTCATGTTGCCATATGCGCCTGGCCAAATGGCATGCCACGCTTCAACGACTACGCGGAAAGACGAGGGTTCCCGGCCAAGAGATGAACTCCGCGAGACGATGCCAGTGCTAACATGATGAACCATCTTCCTTCCGTCGACAGGTACTTTCCCTACTACATCACCGTCGCATGCCTCGTAATCCTCTTCATCGGCCTCCTTCTCTGGCTAGTCTTCCAGCGTCGTCTCCTCCCAGCCATTGTTATGATCGGCGCCTTCATCCTCTTCATACTATGGTTCGTCGGTCTTGTTGTGGTGAGCATTCAGCTCTGGGGACCCGACGGGTCCGTCTCTAGCACGTGTAACCTCGCCGTGTTTAATCGGAGCCCGACGGGGCAGAGTCTAGACACCCTCGCTTGGCTGGAACAGAGGAGTATATGTGCGTTCTCTCCTTTCCCCTACTCGCTCTTTTCTTGGTGCGATGCCTATTTGTTTCTTCGTAGATTTCGAGAAGAGACTTTGTGAACGGGAGGATTGCTAATATTCGGGACCGTGATGTAGGCCAAGCGTGGCAGGCGGTGTTTTCATTTGCGCTGGTTGGTGCCATCTTCCTGCTTTGGATCATGGTCATGGCCTACCAAGTGTTTGTCAGCTCGTGATGAATACGGGCTGAGACACGACTGTCCCGGGAATTATCATTCTCGTTTGGACGTGTGGCTGCGTAGTGTCGACGATGAAGCCTCGGGTTGCGCCTAGGCCGCAACGTTTATATTTTGACTGTATACCATTGCATGAGGAATATCCGACATACTCAACCATTTTCTGGTATAATCTTTTCGGCATAGTCCGACACAACTCGACACATATACGGAAACATAAACGGTATCCAGCTTCGACAGTCTTATCGGCCGGCTTGGACATACCGCCAGTTTTGCTACAAGAGACGAATTTACGAGTATGATCTGATGGATTTAATGGTTAGAGTCGCCGTCGGAGGAAGGTTTTCGTTCTCTTCCTTGGTTTCGGGCAATTGCACATATAGGCGTCTGGTGATTTTGGACGGAGGTTTCGCACGAGCTATTGTTTGGTGACCGGACTGCATGATTGCGTAGCGAA